TTCTCCCAATCCTCTGCTGTATCATCCATGTGCTCTCTGGCAAACTTCAGACGGGCCTGGACATGCACTGGCTTCAGCAGCTCAGCTAAACAACTTCCACTAACACACTGAGTGTTTCTTTGATCTGCAGTGGAACCAGTTTAAAGTGTCACAACAATAGAAACTACAACAGAAACATAATTTTAATGCTGTGCTCAGTAACAGGACAGAAAGCCTCCAACAAACATTTCTGCATGTTTCTAAAGCCCAGACTCCATTTCTGCTTTTTTTTTTTTTCAAACTTATTCACAGGGTTTCACTTCTCTGTCCTGACCTCAGCATTACATGATCACATGATCATATTATCACATGATCGTCTGCATTAGAAACAGCAGAAATCTGCTGCTTCATAGTTCACAGTAACGAACTCACATTTGGATCAACAAGACCAAGTGGAGTCAGAGCAGCAGCAGGTTTGGATTTATCTTTTCACTTAGACGTTAGAGACACACTGTTTTCTAAAGTAAGACTTAGACTTTCTCCGCATCATCATGTTTTTGATGGATAGGGTGGTAGAAAATTCCCTCATGATGTCATTTTATCTCCATTTGAAATTCACATTTTAAATATAAGCCGTTTAACAGCGTTATCGTTTGAAAATAAGTGATGTACAAACAGAGTGAGCATTTCTGAGGCCACAGAGAGAAAAGAGACAAACACTGACTGAGCTCACTACACATGTCAGCACTCATGAACTACTCCTCGGTAACTTTGAACTTTGCTCTTTAAGATGTAAACAGCAGCTTCAGTTTTTAACATGGAATATTTTCTTCCATGTAACTCAGTAAAGAGTATAAATATCAGTGTGAAGTTTTGATCATCGGTTTGTCATTATTGACTCTGTTAGCTGAAATACTTTTTAGTGAAGACTGAATTTAAACTAGTTTAAACTAATCGACCTTCTCACACAAACAACATGCCCAAGCTGATCACACAAATGTTCATCATTCATGAGACAGCTTTGACAACAAGTCATTTAAAACATTTTAAATATGGGTAATAATTATTCTGGTAAATATTGAAAATCCCTTTTTGGCACGACAAGGTTGTCTGTGTAGAGAGCTGTCAGCTATATTGTTCTGTAAACCTTGACTGCCAATCTGTAGAATACTGTCAGAGAAGGTAAATGGACTGGTTCTTATATAGCACTATTCTACTCTTAGCACTCAAAGCAAATGAGGCAAGTTTACACAATTTGCCTATTCATTTGCATAAGCACTTTTTTCTATGGTGTTCATAAGTGCTTTCTATCTAACATTCACAAGGGTGAATATTTCACCGGCTTTAAAGGGATAAACAGATGTTAATGCAAGTTAGTGTGAGTGGATAGGGAAAGGGTGTAGCGGATTCTTATCTGGTGTAGAGATGGCACGATAACACTTTTTTATGTCCGATACTGATACCGATATCATAAATTTGGATATCTGCCGATACCGATATGAAT